AAAAAATGGCTCCTATATTTTAGAAGGTCACGGTCTGCCCTTTAGGCGTGTTCAGCTTATCTTAAGGTTGCAACCCTTGAACACCACGGCACAGCTGGGAATCTGTGTCATTTTGTATAGTCAGTAATTTACCTAGAAAACTGTAACATCTGTATAAAAATTACATTCAATATGAACAAATTGACCAATATTCTATCACTATGCCAACAAATCAAGTTTGAACTCTACTTAAATGAATCATGACTACAGAGAACATGCTGGATAACTAAATTATTTTTGTTTTGTAAGAAAAAAAACAATACATGTTGGAACAGAAGTATTGTACATATGACATGTTGACAGTATACAGTATCAAATGATATGCTAACTATGTTTTAATTGAGATATAGGTATGTTGGCAAATGGGACACTTCAATCAACCTGTCTGCTAATCCTGAATGTACTAACAATGTGTGTAATCTCCATCCCAGCTGGATGGATACGGCAATAACAGTTTGTGTAGCACGTTGTCTATTTATAATAAGCTATTGGACGCAGGTGTTTAAATGGCTTTTTAATTGTTTCCAAGGCTGTGATGTAGCAATGAGACACTCAAGTGAACACTTAAGAGAATACAGCTCAGAGCCAGGTGCTACGTGTGGATGTATGCGTGTCCACGTGCAACACAGCATGAGTAATGCCTCTGGCACTTTCGTGAAAAAGGACAGCACCTGTTACTTGAGGGAATACAAAGCATGCACAGGCACAGGTTTGAGTCAGAGTGTGTGAGTAAGAGAGACTGAAAGACTCTGACAAAGTCAAAAGCTTTTTTTTTTCTTGCTTCAATATGTTCAAATATTTCTTTGAGCTGATTTGGCTTCATCTACATATTAAAAATAGTAGTAGTGATGGCATGGCATTGTCCTTTTGCAGCAGAAGGAATGGCATGTTATACTTGTTAACTGGTGTAAGAAGCAAGCTGTAAGCTTTTTGTGTTAGCCAAGGCTTGGTGACTCAACCAATCTAATTTGAGGCCCACTGCAGCTATTTATCGACACTATAAGAAAGCAATTTGTTCTATGCAGCTGGAGAGCTGCTTGTTTGTGTCATTCATAATAATGGTCACTGGATTAAATACCACACTGGAGCTCTGCTCCCTAACATTGACGGTTCTACGATAGGCACCAGGCTGGGACATGATATATCTTTTGACTGTTGGCATAGTTGGACATTAAATGTATTACTATGTCTGTATTTCATAAGCAAAGTCAAATCTAGGACATGTCATTTTTAGTCCTTTGGCCAGTGCTGAGACTTAAGTAGCTTCTGATAAGTTTGGCTATTCATATTTCTAAATCTTGCAAACATAAAAAAATCCATATATTCTTGTATTAATGCCCTTCTCTCAGGCAGTAATGATGTTATATGAATGTTATAGTAACTATAACGGTCTTATAATATCACATAATTGCTGGACTTTTCTGATGATAGAAGCTCTGACATCCCAAAATTGATAGCTGACTGCCTAAAACATGTGACACGTTTTCAGCCAATGCATGAAATCCTATTATTCTGTCAGACGTTGCTTGCATCTTGGAGAAATGAGTGAGGAGTGCTCTGGATCCTGTGCCTTCCCATACTGGCCAGGAGATGGCAGGTCAGATTGTCTGAAAACTTTCATTCTTGCAAGACAGTAGTGAAAACAGTAAATTTTCTATATGACAGATTCCCAAAAACATCTCAGGTTTAGCAGAACTTGCATATTCTGAAACAGAAACAATGATCATTGCCTGGCTGAAGGGAACTCTGGCAGGCTGGTTATTTGCAGCATGCTCATCCCTTGGTATTCCAGATGAAGGTCAAGCTCTTTTAACACTAGTCTACCCCTCTTCCTTTACGCTACATCTGGAGCAGATGTGCATACCACTTAATGTTTGTCTCCCAATGTTTGCACATACCAGCGTGAGTCTGGGACGAGTGTAAAAATGTAGTGAAAGTCTCAAATTCTTTGGTTCTGTTCTCTTCAATGTGACATCTAAACAAGTTAAAAACAAAAAATACCAAAAATAAAAATACCCCAAACCATCTTTAAAAAGATCAAATTCACTACAGAAACAATCACCCTGTGAGTCAGAGACTGGTTTCACTTTTGTAATTTTATCCCACTGGCTCATTTAACATCTGTTAGTTGGCGAGACCAAATTAGGTATTTGTGGGTCTGTTAGATTTTTGATCCACTGGAAGCTGATACTACACTGTTACCCAGATGCTGCTGCTCTGTGCGTTTTTAGTTTGTCCCATCTGAGCCATAACATGGCAAATGGCAGTGTTTGTTCCGATGATTTACAATCACTATGGGGTTAAATTGCAGCTGGAAAAGTGCCATCGTGGCTTAGTCAAGTCTAAAAGAGCATGTTTTATCAACCAGAACAAAGGCATTTTCTATTCTGTTAAAGGTCAGAAGGAGGAAAAGACCGAGAGCTCAGCTGGTGGAAAATATGCACAACCGATCTCTGAAAAGTCTTATGTTTCTAATATAATTAATAGAGTTTATGGGATTCTTTTAAACAATAGAACCTCCCACTTATTAAGGATTTAAAGTTTAGGATGTGGGGGAGTGAGTGAGATGCACAGTAAAGGGATCCCCCTAATGGCATTACAAGGCAGACAGATGGTGCAGGAGTTGTAGTTTTTTTTTTTCCAGGCACATGGGTGGAGGTAGAGGTGGTGACATTGGTGGAGTTCCTCCCCCGCTGCCGGGAACGCTCAGTGATCATCCCAGAGTGCCAACTCACCCCTTGCGGGTGTTTCAGTGGTACAGCCCCACCTCGCTCCAGAAGAGCACATGTCGGGTGACATGAATCAGAGAGGACAGGGGGAGTGAGAGAAGAAGCTCAGAGGCAGAAGGTTTAGTCACTGAGAGACTCCGAAAGGACTTCCGAATTGTAGATTGAAACGGAATCACTGTTTTGAAAAGGAAATATTTAATCTTTCCTGATTTTTTTACTTAATCATCACAGGAAAAAAAAATTGGAAGTTTGATCTACAGGTAAGGATGTTTACATGAGTTTGATTTAAAATATAAATATGGGTTTTAGAACTTGAAGAAACTTAATATAAGAAACATGAATATTTAAAGTGTATATATTGCTGGCAAGAACAAAAAGATTCATTATTTTGGCTTAAATCTTTATGCGTAAGGCTTTGGAGTAATTCAGCAAGTCCAAACAAAATGTAACTGTAAACCTGGAATTATGCTTTCATAATGTGCCAACACTAAAAGCAACCACAGGGACAAACTGTGATTATGGCTTCGTCCCCTGTCCTCTCATTCTTGTTGCTACTGTGGCCGTGAGCTGTTGTTGACATGGGTTTGGAAATAGCTGAGGTCTGAGTGATTCACCATCTGTCCCCAGGGGTCGCTCAATTTGGAACACCCTACATATGAGCCATGCTTCTGTATATGTTGTGTATCACTCTGCATATGCACACTAGATACTGAAAGCCACTGCTGTCGCATGACTTTCCTTCTTGTAAATATGTTGGTAGTACCACAGAATGATTTGTTGCTGGTGTAAAACTACATTTTTAAATAGCTTATCTTAACTTTTTAAAATACAGTTTAAAATACAATTAGACTGTGTATTTATTATATGGATAAAATATTGGAGCATATGGCATAAGACCTATCTTTGGTGTTCATGTAAGAGGTGAACGGGAAGAAAACCTCCAAGTGATATCTCTGTAGTAGCCAGGGGGTGCTTGAAAAGATTAGTTCGGTTAATGTGAAAGTAAACTTGTGTTTGCAAATGGTATGGCTAAACAGTCGAAATTGTCAGCCGAATATAACAATAGCTAGCTAAAAATCTCAATTTAATAATTCAATCGTCTTAGCGGAGTGTTACGCTCAGTAAGTATCGATGTACCTATGGATGCAACTTCCCTGTTGGCAACACATTTTTGGAAGACTACAAGCACAACAACCAGCTGATCTGAGCAGAGTCAGGCCGAGCATAGACAAGTAATACACAATAAAGCAGGTTTATTTTTAAACTGTATTGTTGTATTATATTGCTTGGTGTGTGTTATAGAAATCTGTATCTGTTTTGTATATCTGATAGGAAAAAATATCACCTGATTTTTAAATCACAAAATATAGGTATTGGTAAAGCTCTAGCTATCAGTTAATTAAAGTTTGTTTATTACGAAGAAATTATGATGCATTTTAGCTAACAGTGTAAAGTTTGAGCTGAATAGTTGAAACTGTTTTAACACCCAACCAGACCAACCATAGCCAGACCAAAGGAATTTAGTTTACTTGTTTGGTTCAGATGAAATATTACCTTGTCTGATTTGCTATAAATGATAAACACCACAAAATAAATGATAATAATATGTCCACCCATACATGGTTTGCACATTCTTGTAAAGCGTTAGGTGGCTACTTTTATTCATAGCATTGCACAATATGTACGCAATTACTCTGGTTTTGTTTTGCAAGCATGATTCAGCAGCAAGAAATCAACCTAAAGACGACAGCTCCTCTCATAGTCCAACTCTGGGGTTTCAAACTGGCATGACTCCTTTTCCCTTTGGCTGACACAGACCAGTTGTTTCGGTGTGTTGTGCAGAACCCACCCATGTTAACGTCAGACCATGTGGGCCTGCACTGACGCAACGTGACAGGGGCTTTAAGATCTGAAAATTGGCTATTAATAGAGCTGCAGGGGTTGTGTTGCTGGTGGCTGGGCAGCATGCTGCAGCTGAGAATCAAACGAGTTGAGTGCAGAGGGGGGTCACTATGTTTGTGGTGTCAGGGATCCTGTCCCATACAAAAAAAATGACTTGATGATTGGGGCCCATTAACCTTAACGTAAACAGTTTTTTCCTAAACACAAAATTATTTAAATGAAAGTATTTTTTTAATTGTGTTAATTCCATTTCATGAACTTTAGAGTTGAGAGCTGTTTCATAATTGTAGTATGTTGTTTACTATATTGTGTACTCTTTCTCTCTTTCAGATGTTGTTCATACCCAGGGCCCACTTGATGGAAGTCTTTATGCCCAAATCCGGAAAAAAGACTCCCTGGAGGGAGTTGTCACAGTCAATGGCCTCCCAGTCCGTGAAAACCCCTTGACTAACGAGAACCCATTGCAGCACACCAACCATCCCCTGCAAACTACTGACCACACCCTTCCTGTGGCAGGCCACACTTCCCTCCCTGCTGTCGACCATACCCTGTCTGTGAGCAGTGACTCAGGCAATTCTACCGCATCGATCAAGACTGATCGCACAGATGAGCAAAGCCAGTCTCTGCAGAGTGCTGTGAGCCACAACAATCCAACAGCAACTCACCCACCACTCAGTCCGCAAGAAAAAAGAGAGCTCGACCAACTTCTGAGTGGCCTTGAGGCACCAACTAAGCGGCAAGCCTACCTGCCTACATCTACCTGTCCAGGAGGAGGAGTACGACACTTAGTTCCTGCACAGGTGCATGTCAACGGGAGCCACACCAGGTTAGTGGGCGCTCCTTCAACAGAGGAGCGTGAGACAGATATTCTCGACGACGAGCTGCCTAATAGTCAAGAGGGCAACAGTGTGGACAGTTTGGGCACCATCTCATCCCTTGAGGGCCAAGCAACACCAGCTGACTTGTACTACCAATCACAGACTCCTGTCAGTGGCCAGAACGACGAGCCATACCTTGATAGAAGCGAGATGCCGGTGCATGGAGTACGAACTCCTACAGCGATGCAAGAGAGATCCGTGGACTCACCATCGCCACAGGGGGGTTACAACAATTATCAAAATGGAGGAGGGATGTATCGTTCACAGTCCTTTGGGAACCCACCTGCCAGCAGCCCTGAGACCACCCCAAAACTTATGCCCAGGGCCCCTGAGAGGAGCACCAGTAGCCGGGATGCTGTACAACGAGGTCTCAGTGCCTGGCATCAGCATAGCCTACCAGATGATCCATTTGGTCCTCCTCTTCAGTCAACTCATAGCTTGCCCCACTTTCCCACCTCAGCTTCACAGCGTGACATTGAGCAGTCAATCGAGGCACTAAATATGCTGATGCTTGACCTAGACCCAATCAACTCTCACATGTCTAAGTCCCACAGTGCGCCCCCTGGTGAGAACAGCCTCAATTCATCCCAGGTGCCATTCTCCCAGACCCTGGCCAGGCCATCATACCAAGCAGACTCTGCTATCCATGGCTACAACAGCTCTGGATCAATTGGCGACGGCATTCATCAGCCCCATCGCTCATCTGGGAGAGTCAGCCAGAGCCCAGTTATGGAGTCTCCAGTGCATTCTCCCCAGAGGCCCAATGCTGGCTACCAACACCAAAATATCACCCCAACACACACTCCTGAGCCCTACCTCCATACTCGCCATGCACCCCTTCATTACACCACTGATTCTAATTTCAATCAGCAGACCCCAGTGAAGCCCATGAACTCCCACCCAAGCAGTGGCACATCACACTCCCCAGAACTGCAGGGCTTGTCTCCGTATCCAGGCTATAGTGCCTCATCTTCACCCCTTCCCACTGTAACTCCACAGCCCAAGGACACATCTTCTTCATCGTTGCCCAGAGAACAAGATGCAGAGGAGGAGACGCTAAACTTGGAAGGCCTGGTAGCACACCGTATTGCAGGTAAGGCTTCAAGATATTGTCTGGAGTTAGTGTATGAATAAGGAAGGGACAGAGTGAGTGGTACTGGACTTGTAACTGTTGCAGGATATTATGCTGCTCTTTGTTTTTTTGTGCATAAATTAATTCATTTACAGTTGATTATCTATTATGTCTATTATGGATTAGCTTCAAAGTTTCCAAGTTTTTTAAGGTTTAAAAAAGAATATGTGAAATAGTTTTTTGCTATTCTTGTTTTCAAGGAAAAGATTGCACAAACACACATATGTCAGTATTTGTGGGTTGTTGGACTGATGGTGGCATGTTGTAGCCCCTAAAGGGGACTCAAAGAGCAGGTTAATACAGTCATTAGCGATGCTCTGTTTTGGAGATTCAGGGAACATTATGGATGATTTGCATGAAACTAATGAGCAAATAAATAAGCATAAAGATGTAAAGCAGATTTGTAGCATATGATATAGCCTAAAACACTTTTGTTATTCTGAAAATGATATTCAACAAAACTTATATATCCAAAATGGCTAACACAATTTACGCATTATCTTGAAGTCTCTGTAATCTTAAGAACCAAGTAGAATGCCAGCGGTGCAGTTTCTATAACTGATCCATTACAGGGTGTCGTATTAGAGGAATAAGCCTTACTCATAAAGTTAGCTTCTCTGACTCAGAGAGCTGTGCAGAGCTGCTGAGAGTGGAAATGAGGTGAGAGTAAGAATAGCCAGGCATTCAGAGATCCCAGCTTCCATGCAATGTCGGCATGCACGATTTTCTTTGAAATGATTTGGAAGCTCTAAAGTGCCTCCCAGTGGAACAAAAATGTAAGTTCCTTTTTTAGCTAGGGGCTTGCGTGTCATCTCATTTGGAGAATACTTTTATTTATCCATTTCTGCTCTGACTTTTCTTTTCCTTTTCCATTCAACCCATCTCTTCACTGTATGGAAACCCTACCCTCCACTGCTTCTTCCTCTGCACTCACTCTCCTCCTCCTCCTCTACCTTCACCTGCTGCCTCCCTTCCACCACTTGACATCCCTCCCCGGAAACAGAGTACAACGCTCGTATTCGGGGCATCAGTGAAAGCATGACACCACAACAATCTGACCGCCATCGCTCCTATTCCTTCTCTGGTTTGTCCACTTTACCCCACCTTTAAATTCTGTCTTTGTTTCATTTTATTTGTCTTGCATTTCTAGAAACTTTCTCTGCTTCCTCATCATTTTCCCAATTATTTGTCCTTTCCCACTGCTTTCTTATTACTTGCAGCCACGTTTTTAAACATTGAGAATCTTTCTCACTGGCTCTGCCTCTCTTAAAGAGGGAATGATGCTGCCCTTTTATATTGATAGGATGCTTTCTCTTTAGCTGATACATCTTTGAACAAATATCCCGGGACTACACAAGCAACATAAAAAGATGTTAAAAAAGGGCATAATGATTTGATGATTCCTCATACTTAAATATTTTGGGGGATACAGGAGTTCGTTCCAGAGGGATGACCCCAGAAGTGACACAGGAGACGGGCAGGCGTCGGACCACGAGTGAGGGACAGTACCAGAGCGGCCATGATAGTACGTCAGCAGTGGATTCACCAGACTTTTCCAACAATCTTGCTCTCAACCCAGGAGGAAGACCCAGAGAGGTACAGCTCTTGATTTTATGGTTAAGCCATGAGCACATGATTTTGTCACTAATTTTGTCCCCACTGAAAATCATGATAAATCCTAGAGGCTGACTATTGTAGGATTTTCAAGACCAATAACAGCATTAGCTGATTTAAAAATCTGAAACTCTAATATGTAAATGCATATTCTTTTAGACAAGGAAAATAAACCCTTTACTTGATATTTGTTATGTGTAGTTATTCATTTACCCTCTGCCTGACTGCACTGGTCAGCAGGCTGTGCACTGCCCAAAGGGAAGTTGCAGAGTGCCCTCTGGTGGACAACCTATCCAATGTCAACACATGTTACATAGTTGACAGATGTCTCTGCTCTCTCTCCTATTTGCTTTTTAAATTCTATTGTGCCATTAGAAATGTTGCTTCTGATAGTTCCTCAAGTAGCTATTATTAGCCGATAAGTTCATATTTGCACTGAAGTAGTTTCATTTTATGCACAAAGGCGCTATAGCGACATATAGCGACATGTTTTTAATTGGGGTGGTGCAGGAGGAAGCAAACAGTCATACTTCATGCCCAGCTTTGGGCCTATCCTGGTATTATGGAAGAGAGTCCTAAACATTTTCCCCTTTCAGCATGAGGTGAGCTACAGTAAAACATCGAGCTCTCGACTGTTTATTGTTCATAAAAGTTCTGACTTCAGACCTACCCCAACCAAGCAACAAACTAGCAGTGACTGCTGATTTGGATTTTAACTTTCTGTTCTGTTTCTCTTATCTGCGGAAAAATGTGCTTGAACTTCAAACTCTGCTTGCTCTGAGTGAGACAGAGAAACTTACGCATGCTTTTATATCAAGCAGAGCTGACTGATGTGATGTTCTGCTATCTCATCAACGCAAAACTTTTGTAAAGTACCCACAGCTGACTGCGAACGCTGCAGAGGAGGAATAACACAGTACACTGATGTTCCTGCACTTTCCATATTTTAATTTCTTTTACTTGTTTTTAAATATCTTCGTGGTCTTGCTCTGTTTTATGTGTCCCATATGCTCACGGTGTAGGAACTTGTACAACCCCTCAGGCATGTCTGCTAGTCAATCTAAAGTTCTGGGCAAAACCATTAAAGAGAGGCAGGTTTTAGCTTTCATGTCTTTTTGGTTGATCCATTCTAGTTTGATTTTTCTCTTTTTTTAAAAATTATTTTTAGCTTATTAATTACTCTGTCATGATATTGTGTCTTGACTCTAATCAAGTCAAGCTGCGTTGATTTTTCTGTAGACTAATTATACTTTTCTTTTATACTTCCTGACATAACTCCATATCTGTGTGCCTTGATCATCTCTTTCAGGGTCCAATGCACAGCTACCGAGAGACGTTTCAGGACAATGAAACAGACAGGTTTGCCAACAGTTCCACCTTTGGAGGTGGTGGAGGTGAGAATTTATTCCATATTCCATATTCTCCATCCCCTAGTCATAGCCACAACACACATAGGCTCACTCTGTCTAAGACATTAGATAGAAATTGTTGGTCTGAATCTAAATTACATTTGTTTCTTTATTAAGAAATGCACAAGAAAGGCTGCTGGAAAACACTGAATTGTGAACAGAGGCTGAAGTTTAAATTAAGTAATTTTGTTTTCATTATATATAAATGAAACAAATACACAGCAAAGAACAAACTCCAAATAAAATAGAAGAAAAAAAAGATAAACAACCAAACTACAGTAAATAAAGGCTTTAAATGATTTTGCAATGGAAACAGCTCAGTAGCAAATAAAACTGAGTCTCTTCTCACAGTCATGAGCCCTCCAACTACTCAGACGCCCTCCTGTCTTCTGTAAGGCTGCACACTTCATCTTAGCCTGCGGACACAATGGTTTTCCCCCTTCATCCCAGGCTTCGTAGTCCATCTCCTGCCCATCCACCCAGATCCAGTCCTTAGATAAGAAGCGCAAGCCAATCCAGACATGTTTAGTGGTGTGATATTTATTCAGCTCTTTCTGAATGAGCAGCATCTCAGTTTCTGATGCCACACTGGCCAGGTCATCATGGTGCTCCCTGCAGTACTCCAGAGCTTCCTCCCAAGTCTTTTCCTCTTCCACCACTACTGTGCTGTAGCAGAAGACAGGGTTGATATGGTCTGCATGTGCATCACGCCATTTTTTGTTATCAAAAAGTCCATAGTCTTCATTGGGTCGGTTTTCAGGTTGATCCTGTTTCCAGCAAAGCTCAGTCACCTGTCCACCTCCTGACCACAGCCACTTGTTTTTGTCTGAGAGATTCCTCAGCAGTCCAAACCAGATGTAGTCATTGAGATTGTGAGAGAGCTCCTGAAGCTTGAGGTTATCCCGTTCATTACTGACCGGGGCCAAGTCTGTGTATTTCTGCTGACAGTAACTTAAAGCTTTATCCCAAGGCATTTTCTCCTCAATGTAAACATACAGTGGGGCAAAAAAGTATTTAGTCAGCCACCGATTGTGCAAGTTCCCCCACTTAAAATGATGACAGAGGTCAGTAATTTGCACCAGAGGTACACTTCAACTGTGAGAGACAGAATGTGAAAAAAAAATCCATGAATCCACATGGTAGGATTTGTAAAGAATTTATTCGTAAATCAGGGTGGAAAATAAGTATTTGGTCACCTCAAACAAGGAAAATCTCTGGCTCTCACAGACCTGTAACGTCTTCTGTAAGAAGCTTTTCTGTCCCCCACTCGTTACCTGTATGAATGGCACCTGTTTGAACTCATCATCTGTATAAAAGACACCTGTCCACAGCCTCAAACAGTCAGACTCCAAACTCCGCCATGGCCAAGACCAAAGAGCTTTCGAAGGACACCAGGAAAAGTATTGTAGACCTGCACCAGACTGGGAAGAGTGAATCTACAATAGGCAAGCAGCTTGGTGTAAAAAAAAATCAACTGTGGGAGCAATCATCAGAAAATGGAAGACATACAAGACCACTGATAATCTCCCTCGATCTGGGGCTCCACGCAAGATCTCATCCCGTGGGGTCAAAATGATCATGAGAACGGTGAGCAAAGATCCCAGAACCACACGGGGGGACCTGGTGAATGACCTGCAGAGAGCTGGGACCAAAGTAACAAAGGTCACCATCAGTAACACACTACAACGGCAGGGAATCAAATCCCGCAGTGCCAGACGTGTTCCGCTGCTGAAGCCAGTGCATGTCCAGGCCCGTCTGAAGTTTGCCAGAGAGCACATGTATGATACAGCAGAGGATTGGGAGAATGTCATGTGGTCAGATGAAACCAAAGTAGAACTTTTTGGTATAAACTCAACTCGTCGTGTTTGGAGGAAGAAGAATACTGAGTTGCATCCCAAGAACACCATACTTACTGTGAAGCATGGGGGTGGAAACATCATGCTATGGGGCTGTTTTTCTGCCAAGGGGACAGGACGACTGATCCGTGTTAAGGACAGAATGAATGGGGCCATGTATCGTGAGATTTTGAGCCAAAACCTCCTTCCATCAGTGAGAACTTTGAAGATGAAACGAGGCTGGGTCTTCCAACATGACAATGATCCAAAACACACCGCCCGGGCAACAAAGGAGTGGCTCCGTAAGAAGCATTTGAAAGTCCTGGAGTGGCCTAGCCAGTCTCCAGACCTCAACCCCATAGAAAATCTGTGGCGGGAGTTGAAAGTCTGTGTTGCTCGGCGACAGCCCCAAAACATCACTGCTCCCGAGAAGATCTGCATGGAGGAATGGGCCAAAATACCAGCTACTGTGTGTGCAAACCTGGTAAAGACCTATAGTAAACGTTTGACCTCTGTTATTGCCAACAAAGGTTATGTTACAAAGTATTGAGTTGTATTTTTGTTATTGACCAAATACTTATTTTCCACCCTGATTTACGAATAAATTCTTTACAAATCCTACCATGTGGATTCATGGATTTTTTTTTCACATTCTGTCTCTCACAGTTGAAGTGTACCTCTGGTGCAAATTACTGACCTCTGTCATCATTTTAGGTGGGGGAACTTGCACAATCGGTGGCTGACTAAATACTTTTTTGCCCCACTGTATTTGCTAGAAGTTCCAGAAAAGCTCAGGAGGAGCAGGGTCCAGACGAAGACCTGATCCATCATTGTTTTGTTTCAAAGAGTGTTGCGAGCTGTGAATACCCAAAGTGTCAAAGCTATGAGATGTTTGACAGAAATGATTTGCATAGGCGGGCTCTGTCATTCGCTCAACCCATCAGTATTGTCGAGGGAGAAGAGAGAACAAAGTTTCAAGGAAAGAAACAGACTATAAGAGTCTTTCTCATTATTATGTCTGTTCTGTGCACTCCTCGTCCAACATTGCCCATACGGAAAAGAAATAGTAAAAACATATGATTTACTCATGAAAGTGGCCACTTTCTCATTACTTTCATATATTTTTTTAGTAAGTATCCAAAACATACAAGTTTCATTATATAATTTTTCAAGGGACCTTATATGTGTTTTCACTCTTGTATGCTTTTCATACAAGTTTCATACAAGACAGATACAAACTTTATAAGATGTATATATATCCTTTCCATATTGGTGGTCTTCTAGGAATGTAATTTTGGTCTCCATATTTTTAATTAAATTCAACAGCTATTTGATTTCTTTAAATTTCTGTCATCAATGCACTTCAAATATATCAAAGAAAGACACAGACATGAAGCCTGAGGTTATTGGGAAAGAGCAACTAATAGGGGTTGCGTGACTTCACAGCCGACAAACGAATCAAAAGAAGGATTTTCCATGTTGTTAGTGATTTCTTTCAAATGCAAATGTAGAGGTCAAGAGAAGAAATTCAGTGAGGGCTGAAAGAAACAATCTTTATTACTTCTGCTTTTTATCTTTCTATCTTTCCATCCTTTTGCTTTTTGTCATTTTATTCTTTGGCCATGTTGGTGCAATTAAATATAAAGTAATGTGGACTTAGGTGTATTTTATAATCTTTGAAAAACTCTCCAGGTTTGGGATAACATAGGATATATTTAAGCTATTAACATTAAATTATAATCCTTTCAACAACACTGAAAAAGAGATCTGTCCTTTTCACTGCCTCCATCAAACCAGGTGTTTTTATAGTCAAAACAATCAAACTTACAAGTCATCTCATCAACCACTGCCCCCAAAATATATGTACTCAATTCAGTTATAGCACTGACCTCCGTGTTCAGACAGTCTGTGTGATACTGATATTTGGGAACCCCAGAGTCCTCTCTCCTGTCATTAGTCCTGAACTCACAAGTGTTCTAATAAGAAGGTGTTCTTTTGCACAAACATTCATATTTGCCCAAAATTGGCCCGCAGGCCAGAGTTTGACACCTATGAGCCTTCAAGTGTTACATATTCGTACATGTAAATCCACCATCTGATGAATTTCCATGTTGCATCATACTTTTGCAAAAGGGAAAACCTCTGTGCTTTCATTCCTTGTATTAGTCAGGGTACATTTTTACGTATTCTCATATGTCATCACTAATGAGAAAGTTTTGCAAATACAAAATTTTTAAGAATCTTTTGAATCTCTTTCTTTCTCGTAGCTCGCTCTCCTCCAGATTTGAGCAAGACTCCTGTGTCACCGCTGGGATTGAAGCCTCATCAGCAGGGTGCAGCAGGTCAGTTTACCAGCATTAAATATATTTGTCTTCATTTAGAACTGACAGTATATATACTACAGATGATGTATACAAAATGATATTCAGTTCATGGTACAACATTCAGGTTTTCAGTATTTGCATCCAAAGAATTTGAATCTCCCAAATCATAATTAGATTTGACTAAAAGCACTTTAGCCATCGAGTGATAATTATACAGAAGTGTACAGTGCACAGAATCCCTGCACTATGTCATACTGTAGCTGACTGAGTAGAAGGTTGCTTTAATACTTTGCTGCCCTCTAGTGTGTAGAATTGTTCCTGCAAATGCTTCGACGCTAACAGTTCTTGCTCTGAGCTCAAGTGCATCTCTCTTCTCTCCTCCTTTTCCACACACCCTCTCTTCTTCTGTTGGTGTCTGCTTCTTCTTTCTTCTTGTGGTCAGACTTTCATTCTAATACTGGAGAACAAGGTAAGCTTACTTTTTGTGGCACCACCAAACCCATATTTGATATTTCTGTGCTCGACTATACATGGATTTGTCTTTGTTTTATGATGATTGATGTTTGATTAATTTTCTGTTTCTGTCAGTTTCGCCTTTTCCAAGCTTCTGATGCTTGTTAACTGATTTGTCTTGTTTCGTTCAGGGCATCCAACTGTTGCGTGATGCACCAAAAACCGATCTGACCGTACACATGTATGTGTGTGTCTGTTTTAACACGCAGATAATCGAGGTTTTGGCGACTCCAGGGTACAACCTTTGAATGCTCCTCTCTCCTCCAGCAGTCCCATCCACAGCACTGATGGGTGAGTCTTCTGTCACTTATTTTTCTTGGATAAAAATTTTAGCCTGTACATGTTTTTTATACATATTAAGCAAATGTTACTTTTCTTTTTTTTATACTCATATCCAGGATGTCATTTGATGCTGAAAGTTTCTGAAGAACCCTTGTGATTGAGGTTAAAATAAAGTGATTTCGCAACTGGAGCGTGAAAAGCCCAAATTTTCAATTAAAATAAAAGTTTCCGGTTCTAATACATTGACACATATGGGGACATACTGCTGTGAAAGTACTTCATTTCATGCATATAGATAGCTTGGAGACCCAAATTAGATATTCAGGTTAACTGAGCAAGCACTTGGCGACAGTGGGGAGGAAGAACTCCCTTTTAAAAGGAAGAGAGCTTTGACAGAACCACGCTCAGGGAGGGGCCAGACAAGTTATAGAGTGTGTGAGGACACAGAGGAAAGAAATGAGAGCATAGAGACATGAGGACAAAACAGAAAAGATAGAAAAGAGAAGAAAACATTTAATAACATGCTGTAGATGCATATAAACACACTGTGTTTGAAGAGAGGTGAGTGAAAAAGAAGTGCTTAGTGCATCATGGAGAGTCCTAGCATCTACTTCTAAAAACCACAAGTAAACCAGCAGTCTGAGTGCTGTGTTAGCATAATAACATAACGAAAAGTATTTAAGACATGACAGAGCCTAAATATTCAAGACTTTGCTTGTAAGGATTTACACTGAGAAATTCCACATCACTTCCTGTGTACAATGTCTTTCATTAGAGAACAATCACCAGCATTGTATCGCAGCATTATCCCAGCAGTGATAGAAATAAAACCAGTACCTCAAACTGAATTTCTGTTATTACTGCACCCACCTGCAGTACCATCACAGCTCACTAGGGGGCTCCAGCTCACACTTTGGGAATCACTGGACTAAAGCAATGGTGTCATCATTCAGTATGATGCTGTAGAGAAGTGAAAGTGATGCTGAGAATAGATTAGCAGCCAAACATCCAGGAAAGCAAGCATATAAGTGATTACAGATCTTTCTCGTTGAACTTGAGATTACCATCATCATTGCATTGGCGAGCAGTTGAACAAAAGTTCAATAGCCTTATTAATTTAGTATCAAAGACTGAGCACAGATGAAGTCACTCTGTTTTCTATCTATATTTAATCCACATAAACAGCTAAATAGAGTCAAAATTGCAGATTCAATTCAAAATGGCAATCAGATTATAATAAATAACTATCCACACAGATACAGACAAAAATGAATGCATATTCAATGCCACTATTTAACAAAAACCCAAACCCCACCCCCGAAACTGATACAATATGTTCATGTTTAGGATCCTTTCAGAGGGCGACGAACCAACCAAAAGACCTAAAAATGCTTTTAAAATAATAATAATAACATTATACAGTGAGGTAATTTTCATTGAGGTTACTTAGATATGAGCTGCCGATATCATCCACAAGATGTATTTTACGAACTGGAATAAGTGCTGAAATGTCAACATCAAGTCAGCTTGAGCATCCTTATCACATTTAATGTTCGGCGTAAGGATCAGGTACAGAAATACAATAACATACCTTTTCTCACTTTTATGATTGTAGAAGAAGAACTAGTTCTTCAGATGCCGTCCCACACAGCCCCGCCTCTATTCACCCCCACAGACCTGCTTCCCCAGACGGATCTCAGGTCAACATTATGGGCGTCCACACAGTCCCCGGCAGCCCTAACACCCTCCACCGCACAGTGGCCACCAATACTCCTCCGAGCCCTGCACTGCAGAGACGCCTGGGTCAAGCCAGCCCCTTGCTGGGCAGGCACCCACCTCCATCTGGTGTTCCTTCAAGTCCTCTGATTGGCCGAAACCCTAAAACAGCAGCTGCCGGTGTGCCACCTAGCCCTCTGATGGGGCGCCGCACGGCAACGAGTGGACACAGTACGCCTGATGAGCTGGGCGCTGCCTCTCGCCAGGGGGTCATCCATCAGCCTGCCACGCCTGCTTTCCCAGTCTCCCCACAGCTGCCAGAAAAGCGACACATGTCCAGTGGAGATGCAGACAGAATGGAGAACAAGAACCTGATGCCAATACCGATCAGTGTTAGCAGCACGCCTAACCTGTCTGGGACACACACTCTCCCAGACGTCTCCAAGTCTATATACGGTAAAAGGGAACTTTTTTTCTTTTAATACCTTTCATGAACCTCATGGGCTAAATATCACTGCTTTTCTTCACCTAATTTCATTCAAACAGACGGTTATCCTGACATCAAGATGAATGTCAAGTTTGTCCAGGACACCTCCAAGTACTGGTACAAGCCAGACATCTCCAGAGAGCAAGGTGAGAGTCAGGAACTTCAACCAACTTCAGCTGCTCATCCTCTCATCATTGCTTTTCTTTTTATTCTCCTCATCTTCTTCTTTTAGCCATCAGTTTGCTGAAGGACAGGGAGCCTGGGGCTTTTGTCATAAGGGACAGCCACTCTTTCAGAGGGGCCTATGGTCTGGCCATGAAGGTGGCCTGCCCACCACCAACTGTCCAGCAGAACAAAAAAGGTAAAGGCTTCCCGCACTCTGCTCTTGGCTTGCTTGTGAAACATCTGCCTTCTCCAACAGCTGGATCAGCTGAGTATGTCTTTTTTTTAGTTGGTGACATGACTAACGAGCTAGTGCGGCACTTCCTGATTGAGACGAACCCCAAAGGTGTCCGCCTGAAGGGCTGTCCCAATGAACCCTATTTTGGTGAGTTTCTGCTGGTGTTTTTTTTCTGTTTGCAACATTAAAATCACAGGTTGAAATTTAATTTAATATCAGACTGATCCAGTCTGACAGAGAGACCATTGCTTTCTGTTTGTAGGCTGTCTTTCTGCTTTGGTGTACCAACACTCAATGACCCCACTGGCTTTGCCATGCAAACTGATGATCCCCACCAAAGGTAACTCTTGTTTTTTTAACTCTACTTTCTTAGTTTCTTTAACATTTTATGGAACGAGAATCCACTCAGACTTTTAGTACAAACCAAATTATTGATAGGTACTTCCATGTTTTTGATAAAAATGTCAATTTTATTTTACACTTTACAATTTATTTGCTGCAAGTAATTGTATTCAGATGCAAAAATATAACATCTACTCTATTCGATCTCTCCAGACCCAAATGAAGAGGCACTAGAACTCACTACACCAACTGATCCAGTTGTTGAACTTCTTAAGCAGGGAGCGGGTAAGTGTCACTGAAGTCTACCAGAAGAAAAAAGGGATAAATTATGATTCTACAAAAACTAACTCTTTGTGAAAAGTAGAGATGCACCAATTGCAATTTTCTTGGCCTGTTCCAATTTCCAATTTTTTTGTTCTTTTTTTTAAGTGCGATGTGCCAATACCATTTTTTTTTAAATTCTGGTTTCTTTCTTAAAACTAAAAATGACAACAAAATCACATTTTCTTCAATGCAATATTCTAAATTATATAGCAATAATCGAAATTTTTAAACGTACAAAATTTCCCCCCAAAACTACAGTAAGTTACCGGGTATTGTCTCACAGAAGTAACTGAAAATAACCTACTGGAAAGAGATGCAGATAATTAAAATGACTTCCTGTATATCTAGTTTTACCTGACATATTTCAGCTTACCAAATAAAATCAGTTTCAAGAGATTCATACAACAAAACAGTTATATTTTCCGATATGTTTATAAATTCAACAGCCAACATGAAATCAACACCTTTTCCTTTTCACTTTTGTCATAATTTTTTTTTCATAACTGCTTTTATTCCGCGGGCATACTGAGGTTCATACTGAGGCTGCTAGCATATGGCTTGCGCCGGACTCTGGATAGCTTTAGCTTTAGCCACTTTGCTTTTGTTTGCTTCCCTAAAATATCCATATTCAACTGGATGATGGTGATTTTATGTGGGATTAGATTTGCTGCAAATGTTTTAGTGCCGGTTCCCATGTGGTTTACTTTAAAATTTGTCACTTTACTCACAATGAGGAGTTTAACATCCAGCATTTGGATGTCAGTGTGTGCTGTTCTTTTGCAGATATGTTGCGCATGCATGACAAAGACCAGCTTATAATCAGATATATGTGAAACTGTTTGGCCAGTCACCAGTTGTGGCACAGACTAATGGAATCAGGCCTGTTCTGGTCCCTGAATGGACAATTTGTGCATTTCAAGAAAAAGAAAAAAACTTTTTTTTTTTTTTTAGAAACATCAGATCACTTGCTTACACAACCTTGTCATCCTTACTTTACAGTCCAGAAGGTTCCTGAGGAAGCCCATGGTAAATACTGGTTTGCACTGCTCTGCTTCATCATGGAATTTTACTGAATATGAGTGTGCTCTTTCCCAGAGGGTTTCAGTCACTGTTAACAAATTTTACAACTAAATAAAACTCGGAAAAAACTTGAAATTCATGCATGTTATGTAAAAATATGCATTGCATGATAACTTGTGTCATAACATTATTCACTGTATGCATTTTTAATTATCCTCACTACAGCTTCCATCACTTTAAGACAAACTGCATGCACACTGTTTTTTGTTTTTTTTGTAGGATCTTCTCTTATGTAGCAGTGTTTTTCCATTGTTTACCTCTAGCGTGCAATGTTCTCTACATCAACTCTGTGGACATGGAATCGCTCACTGGGCCTCAGGCAATTGCCAAGGCAATTAGTCAGACGCTGTCAACCAACCCTCTGCCCGCTGCCACCACCGTCCACTTTAAAGTGTCCACACAGGGCATCACACTCACCGACAGTCAGAGAAAGTAAGCACGTTCAGGAGTAACTCTAATATTAACAATGGTCTTAATAATGGTCTGTTATATCTGTTATATATATTAGTATGATAGTCCCTAACAAAAAGAAATGTTTACTGCAAAAGTAATTTTGCACCCTCTAGTGGTAGCCAGTAAACCAGTAATCACATGACAGCATTTTTCAGCAAACACCAAGAGATACCCTGTGCAATGTTTTACATCCAAGCACGGTCTTTTAATGTAATGTTATTTTATATTCATTCATTCATTTTTACTGCAGGCTTTTCTTTAGAAGACATTATCCAATAAACACGGTAACCTACTGTGACATTGATCCCCA